TGTTACTATTGTAAAAACTCTCATTGATCAGATGAACTCTTTTTGATGGATAAATATAATATCTACTAGATAAAGGATTAAACATATTAGTATAAGAATAGAAATACAGAATGTTAGCATTGAATTAGGATCTGATTATACAATATTAAATGTTTTGCTTAAAAAACCGAATTAATAAAGGCCCATCTACAGACTCATGCATGAAAATGGATTTTGTAAAAATACAATATGAGAATAGTGAATTCCAAATAATAGCAGATGAAGGTAAATCGAACACTATTTATGGCATATGTTGTTAAACCCACAAACATGGAGAGCTGATTGTATTCTCTTTTTCCAGTTGTGAACATGGCACATTAGAGTTCCACTTAACAGTGCAGTGATTTCAGCTAGGACCACGGTTAAAGAGGCCTGTGCCTAGTGAGCATCTGCTAAACCAGATCAGTCAGAACAGAGAAACAAGCTCTTCAGGTTGAAGGCAAAGCCACAAAGGTTTATTACGATTCAGCCAAAGTACAAACAATATGTTTCAAAAGGTACAAGCATAAACTCACAGAGAAATACACAACATCTTATACAGTGCTGGCAACTCACCAAATAGTGAATTCACCAAATAGTGTGGTCAATAACCATGCAGGTCGGGGTTTCTAGGAACTGTAGTTCCAAAATGCAACTTGTCCAAATTTTAAGAGGAAGGTTAGGGTAATTCAAGGCTAAGGAGTGGTGAATGTGGACAAATTACAGACCTGAAGACTGTTTAACTTGCTTGCAAAGCCATCTCAGAAGAGGGATTGAAACCATCTTACTCAAACTGCCTCTGATTTCCTGTATCCCTACTTCCCCTCATGAGTATGGTCATCTGAAGAAGAAAGTCTATGTCATGGCAGATGCATGATTTATCTTAGTTGCATATCATCCAACATTTCACAGATGGAAACGTGATCAAGCAATGTCAGAGTGTGGCAAAATGTATTAAAGAGGAAGAACATTGCATTTAGGAAAGGCTGGAGCAGGTATTTTTGCCTGAACCTCACGGGAAAGGCAAGATTCCACATCTTCCCACTGCTGAGTTAGTTGAATGCTAAGTATTTTTGAAAGTGAAATCAGTTTACAATTAAGCAAGTTGAGAACAGAAGAAGAAAACGAGAGGAAGGGAGAAAAGCTGGGAAATTTTAAAAGCAGCTGAAAAAGTGAGATGACAAAGGATTGATTGAGACTGTCCCTTCCAAACTGGGTAATCAGTTCCACTGAACTCCCACTGTGATGTATACATGAACAATTGCAGCCCTACTCTCTTTCTGAATAAATCTCTTTACACGTGAAAAGGACTAAGTTACACGTACATCAATCATGGCTATCATTGGGAATGAGGACAATAGGTATGAAAATCCAATTTGTTTTAGTTCTATAGAAATTAATTGTTATTCAATTATCTTTTGGGCATAGAGCCTTATGCAGGAGAATGCCTATTTATAATACACATAAATGCATTGATCTGGAAGCTCCTCTTAGCTGTATTCTTTCACTGTAGAATATATTTATTTTACAATCATAGATGTAGTTCCTATTGGCTGGAATTATCAGAGGCTTTGTGTATCTTTGAAGTTATTCCCACAGCTGTGTTTTGCATTTAGGAACTTTCATCCAATATATCAAAGAGTGTTTCATAAGCACCATGAACCAAACCACAACAAATGCAAACAGTGGCATCACTAAGGAGATGTGGGAGAAATGAATCATACCAGGTGGCACTATCAGAAGAGGTGACCCCAAAATGACCATCTATAATTTTTTGTGCAACGTTTCTGCAGAAATTTATTTTAATAAAAAAATATCCCTGGGGTTCAATATAGCCACAAAACTATGTACTGTATCAATATACCTAGAAGGCTAAAAACTCTATGCAATTGTACCTTTTGAACCTTCTGACGTGCATGTGCTCCAGCCAGAGCTGTCATTATTATCCAGTTTCAATGACTCTTCAAATCATATGCTTTTGTCTATATGTGGTGTTGCTTTTGCTGCTGATTTTTTTAAAATAGCAGCTGATTTTGTCAAATGTTCTGGTATTTAGCCACAATATTGTATTATAGTCTTGTATGGGAGGTAGTTCATTGCACACAATGAGTTACTGCACTGAGTGACACCAATCCTAGTTACACTGAGTACAATCTCTACCAGAAAACAAATACCAGTAAGTTAAAACCAGACAGATGATTAATAACTGGGATTCATAATATTGCTTTCAATAAGATTATGAAACAGCCAATGAGTGCATAATGGGAGTCTGAAACCTACATGGTATATTTGCAATACTACATTTGTGTGAATGATGCCAGCAGCAATTGGATTAGTAGCTTGAGGTATCCTTTCCTAATTCAATATTTTTGTCGTGGTCCATATTCCACTGTACTTCAAAGCTTCTATGTATTTCTGGCAAGTCGAACAGTGATACTCAAAATATTCTGAGACTTTCTAAACAAAACATGTGCCAAGATCTCTGTCTGAAAACTTCATATACAGTCTTAATTGACATAGCAAATGAGCAGCAATAGTATAATGTTTTCATTAAACTGAAGCAAGTCATACAACTTCTTCCAGATTCAATTTTCCATGTATTTGTAGAGCTTGAAATTAGCATGTTAAGAAGGTTTATTTGTTCAGGGCTTTGGGGACGGCTAACAGTTCAGTTCCAGAGCACACACTGTCTATACACTGTATCTGTTGCTAGCAACCAAAATTAAAAATTATTGGTGAGCAAGTCTAGAAGAAAGGATTGATATATTAGATTCATGGTTGTAATAAGAACAAAAAGTGCTAGATGCAGTGGACCACTCAACTAATCTTTATTTATTTATTTTGTGTCAAAAGCATTGCTTAAACAAGTATAAAACTAATAAAATAGAGGGAACACAAGTGGCTAAATAATTTTAGACCCAAAATGGGCAACAGCAACCACATTGTCTTTAGCTTTCAACAGTACTTCCTCTGTGCATGAGGGAGTGCATTGTGGACAAGCATACAGATGCTGAGTTCTTTGTTCTGCTCCACAGGCACACAAGGTGGAGAATTCTTCTAGGTAGTGCCATTTAGCCAGGTTAGTCTTTTGATTTGCCAACACCACTTCTGAGTCTGTTCAGGGACTTCCAAGTTGCCCATTCTTGATTTGCCCCTGGAGGAAGAACCTCGTGGGGCCATCCAATTGGGATGTCCTGGTTTAGCTGCCCAGAGGGATAATTTTACAGTTGCTTGAGAAACATTAAGAGGAGTGGTGGTTCTCATGAAGCTTTTCCTTGATTTGAGTCTACTGGGAAGAGGCTGATATGGCTTTCACAGTGTTTAACTTTATTTCTCTCACAGTTGGCAGCAACTTTCCGTCACACATCAGAGGGGGCAATGCTAGCTAGCTTATAGAGTCTATCAACAGATTTGAGACATTCTGTGATTATTCTACAGGTTTTGTCCAGTGCTGCATTCATCTACTTCACGTGGGCAGATTTGTGCCAAACAGGGAAGGCATACTCAGCAGTTCAATAAGTTGTTTCACTTAATATTGTGTCACAGTTTTATTGTACTAATAATTAGATTTTGTAAGTCAAAAATGCTAGATGCTATTGGAGCAGAACTTCCACAGTCTCTCATCACTTGTTATGCCGGCTAGTGATGCTGGGAATGGCAGTCTAATAATATTGGGGAAACTACTGTTGCCCACTCTGATGTAGGTGTTTGTGGTAAAGGATATACTTTGCCTGTAAAAGGTCCCATGTTCAATCCTTGACATCCCCAGTTAGAAAAGATTCCTATTGGAAAACTCTCAAAAACTTTCTTGCATGTCAGTTCCAGATTTCAGAAGGAAAGACATCCTCAACAGTCCTGCTTCAACGCTACTGAGTGCATCAACACTGCAGAATTAAGGCAGTTCCACTGTTTGATGGATGAAAGTTTCACATAACTTTAATGTCTATGGTTCAATGGCATGAAATCTTGTAGTTTTACCAGATTGTTTGCCTTTCCTGCAAAATAGTCCTGCAGACTACAATCCCCCTGATTCCATAGCATTGAGCCATGACATCATTTCTGCCACCAAACTCAGAGCAAGTGGTGTTAAACTGCATTAATTTACAGTATTGATGTATATCCATTGTTGAAAGATGCGGCATTTGTGTTGCATCATTTCTGCCACCAAACTCAGAGCAACAGCCAGCCACTTTTGGCTTGCTTTTATGTAGTGTCCAAACTTTGGAAGCTATCTACATCTAGTAAATAAAATTAGCAGGTTATCCTGCTCATTACTATTTTCTGAAGCTTCAGTCAAGTGTGAATTGCAAAAGGAAAATTGTTAAATAATATCTGCTTTGCAATAGTTAAATCTTTGCTTAAATATCTTATTTTTCATAGTAAGTTGCTTAGTATGGCTTCCTCTTTTGGGGTTCCCATCTGCACTAAGGATAGGCAACTTCAATGGCTTCTAGGGGCAATTTCCTAGCCTTTGGAATTGCTATTGGTCATAGCACTAGCCCCCAATGAAATTCGACCTCAGGAATACCCTTTACTTTATGGGTTTTTAAACTAAGACAAGCTATGGAAGGGGGGGGGAGGGGATCCATCATGGCATAAATAAAATTCTATTTCTGGAGTACAGTTCTTCATTTTCTTAGACATATGGATATGGGATACGCCAGAGCCATGCCAGATATCAGCAGTTTTAAAGGCTGAGCATGTTTTATTTATGGATTAGTTCTACCATTACATCCATCAAACAGTAACAATGTTTTTTCTATCAGAAACAGCTGCTTTTCATGACTTCTTTCTGTCTCCTGGGTCAAGACACCAAAAATATTCTGATGTCATGGCAGATATTTTCCCAGCTTCTAATTTTCACAGAAAGGAACAAAGAAATGCTTCATGAGAGAAAGGTTTCTTGGAAACTATTCTGACATGTATAGACCGCAAGCAATTTATGGGGGGAAATATATAATCAAGAAGTCATTGCAGAGGCAGGAGGAACATGCTGAGGACTCAAGCAATCTGCCATGGTAAGTATTTCTCAGAGTTTCTGAACTTTTTTCTTATTTGCAGGAAGGAGAAACAAAAGCAGTCATGCTAAAGAAAATAAAATAGACTATTTTTAAAACTTTAAATAATAAAATTGATGCTCAAATTTTGCTTGATTTTGTACTAATGCGAGTTGACTTTGGTCCAGGCTAATCAAAGGACTTTATTTCCCTGTATGAATCTGTTAGACATCAAGGTCTTTGAGAGAGAGCTTTTTCTTTGTCCTGCTACTATTTCGGACTCATTTGGTGAGAATGAGGGAGAGAGACTTCTCAGTGGTTGCTCCCAGGCTTCAAAACCTTCTTCTTAGAGAAGCTGGGATGGCTCTCTATTCTTTCAAACTTTCAGGAATTAATTGTGATGGATTTTTAATTTTGTACTGCTTTGCTGATTTTTAAAAAATGTTTTAACTAAATAATTTTAACTTTATAGATTGTTCCATTATTTTTCATTTTTTAAAAATAATAATTCTCTTAGTTGTTGTAGGTTTTTCGGGCTATATGGCCATGTTCTAGAAGTATTATCTCCTGACGTTTCGCCTGCATCTATGGCAGGCATCCTCAGAGGTTTCTCTTCCTCCCTGCTGTCCGTTGTTCCTTATTTTTCATGTCTTATTTAGATTGCAAGACTCAGAGTATGGAAATGTCCGCAGTTATGCAAATCGACACAAATTCCTGAAATATATCCCTAGTGGATACTGGGATCATAGAGATTAGAAATATATATATAAAAAACATCAGTGAGATATCTTACTGATGTTTTTGCATCAGAAATATGTTTTTGCATATTTCTAATTTGTATTATTTTAATCTTTTATAAGCTACCTTGAGTTCTCTTATTGGGGGAAAGGGAGGATATAAATTAATTTTTTTTTTAAAAAAAGAAAATACTACAAGTTTGTGGAACATATGATGATTGTTTGCATAAATGGACCAGTTTGGGACTTTGTGGAGTCGGATTGTTTCTGAGTATTGGAAATATTTATTTTCAAGAAGACATCCCTGCATGACCTTAAACATTGGATCAGTAACTGTATGGTAATTATGACCTCGCAGCAAATATCCTCTTGAGGTTTCCCCCCCCCTCCACCTCCCCCCCCCCCAGGTGTCAGGAGCGACTTGAGAAACTGCAAGTTGCTTCTGGTATGAGCAAATTGGCCATCTACAAAGACATTGCCCAGGGGATGCCCAGATGTCTTGATGTTTTACCATCCTTGTGGTAAAATACCATCCTTCTCTCATGTCCCCACATGAAGCCAGAGCTGACAGAGGGAGCTCATCCACAGTCTCCCTGGATTCGAAACTCTGACCTGTCAGTCTTCAGTCCTCCTCCACCACAGTTTGAAACAGCTTTTACCATCAGGAATTTTTTCCTAATATTCAGGTGGAATCTCTTTTCCCACAGTTTGAATCCATTGCTCCATATCTTGATTGTTGAAATAGCAGAAAACAAGCAAGATTGCTTTTGAAGTAGAACATATGATAGGGTGAGCAACAGTATGCATTAAAAAATTAAATCCTATTGAATAAAACAAATCAACCTGTAGACACAAAATCCATTAAATATTTTTAAATAAAAGCACACTACTTTTAGGTTTTCACAAATCCTTGAAAACTTTACATTGTAAACAAACTCTGAATTTCGGAGGTCCCATTAGCTCTGTTTTGACTAGCTCAGCTGTCAACGTTTGTTCATTTAGCTGTTCAGAAGTGTATGCAACAGTGGCAGATTCCAGATGTCATCCTCCTGTGTTTAAACAAATCACTTGGCTTTTCCTTAGCATTATATCTAGCTCTAATACTTCAACTACCAAAACATTTACATATAACATTTTCCACTCCACTCCTGAATAACAAACGGCCTAGGAAGGCAAATGGACTTGTTAAGAGGTTGGCCTTGTTTTTCAAAGAAGCGCCTAACTCATTTGGAAAAGAACAAGAAAACAGGCTGGCTCACTTGGAATTGTGGCTGTTTTTCCTTGAAAGGAATATTTTGTCAGTGGTATTGCCATAGAGTCCCCACAGCAAGGGAAGGCACTTTGTTGGACTCATGATCTGGAAATGCAAAGAGAAAGCAGACTTGCACAAACAATGGTTTAAGGAAGCTGAAATGATGAATCAAATAGGATGGCTTATGTTAAGGTAACCATGTGATTTGGAAAGTTACTTTGGGACTAAAGCTACCATGTCTCTTGCTAGGGATTCTGAGTGTTGTCATTTGGAAAAGCAATATTTCCATGTTTTGGGTTGTTCTAAGTTTTCCGGGCTGTTTGGCTATCTTTCAGAAGCATTCTTTCCTGATGTTTCACCTGCATCTATGGCAGGCATACTCAGAGATTGTGAGGTCTGTTGGAAATTAAGAAAATTGGATTTATATATCTGTGGAAAGTGCAGGGTGGGAGAAAGAATTCTTATCTGTTTGAGGTAGGTGAAGGGGCAGCTCAACCCATTACGCAAAGTAAGCATTTGCAGTATAGTTGACTTTGCCCAGGGGCGCTCTTGAGGGAAAATAGACCTTGACATATGTGAGTTGTAGTTACTGAGATATATAGTTCACCTACAATCAAAGAGCATTCTGAACTCCACCAATGATGGAATTGAACCAAATATGGCACACAGAACTCCCACGACAATACAGAAAATATATATCAGTGATTGGTTGGGGGGGGGCGCCAAAATACTGTTTGCTTACCGTTGAAAATTACCTAGGGCCGCCTCTGAGTAGGTGTAAATGTTGCAACTGGCCACTTTGATTAGCATGTAATGGCATGGCAGTTTCAAGGTCTGGCTTCTTACTGCCCGGGGTATTATTATTATTATTATTATTATTATTAACTTTATTTGTACCCCGCTAGCATCTCCCACAGGACTCGATGCGGCTTACAAAGGCCAAGGCCTCAAAACACAACATAATCAAAACAATAAGCAAATAACGATAATGACAATACATCAGGACATTATTAAAACTGGTTCGGCCGGCGCAATGGGTACAGGATTAAAAGTGCTGAAATGATAGGAGGCACGTAGGATTAAAAGTGCGGTGTGCAGCAGCGATTAGTTATGCTAAGGTGCTACTAGGACTTGGAGTGGGGATTCCTAGTCTGAAAAGGCACAACGGAACAGCCAAGTTTTCAAATTCCTTCTGAAAACTGCTAATGTAGGGGCCTGTCGGAGATCTTTTGGAAGGGCGTTCCAGAGTCGGGGGGCCGCCACGGAGAAGGCCCTGTCCCGTGTCCCCACCAAGCGCGCTTGCGACGTAGGTGGGATCACGAGCAGGGCCTCCCCAGATGATCGAAGCGAGCGTGTGGGTTCGTAGATGGAGATGCGGTCACGCAGGTAGGGTGGTCCCAAACCGTTTAGGGCTTTGTAGGTGAGCACCTGCACCTTGAATTGGGCTCGGAAAATAAATAGCAGCCAGTGGAGCTCCTTAAACAGAGGGGTAGACCTCTCTTGATAATGAGCCCCGCTTAGCATCCTGGCTGCTGCCCGCTGGACCAATTGAAGTTTCCGAGCCGTCTTCAAGGGCAGCCCCACGTAGAGCACATTGCAGTAATCCATTCTAGGGGTGACCAAGGCATGGACCACCCCGGCCAGATCAGCCTTCACGAGGTATGGTCGCAGTTGGCGCACAAGTCTCAGTTGCGCAAAGGCCCTCCCGGATACCGCCGACACCTGAGCCTCAAGTGTAAGCGAAGAATCCAAGAGGACACCCAAACTGCGGACCTGTGGCTTTAGGGGGAGTGTAACCCCGTCCAACACAGGTGACCACCCTATACCCCGATCCGGTTTACGATCGACCAGGAGGACCTCTGTCTTATCGGGATTGATCTTCAGCTTGTTCTTCCTCATCCAGATCGACACAGCGGCCAGGCACTCGCCTAGCACCTGAGAAGCCTCCTTGGAATTAGGTGGAAAGGAGTAGTAGAGTTGTGTGTCATCCGCGTAGAGATGGCACCCAACTCCAAAGCTCCGGATGACCTCTCCCAGCGGTTTCATGTAGATGTTAAAAAGCATGGGCGACAAAATAGAGCCTTGCGGGACCCCACAGGTCAAAGGCCAGGGGTCAGAGCAGGCGTCTCCCAGCTTCACCATCTGAGTTCGTCCCTCCAGGAAGGACTGGAGCCACGACAAAACCGTGCCCCCAAGGCCCATCCCGGAGAGACGACCCAGAAGGATACCATGATCGATGGTATCGAAAGCCGCTGAGATGTCCAAGAGAACCAGCAGGGTCACACTCCCCCTGTCCAGCTCTCTGCGGAGGTCATCCACCAAGGCGACCAAGGCTGTCTCGGTGCCATGACCAGGCCTGAAACCAGACTGTGACTGATCTAGGTAGTTGGTATCGTCCAGGAAACTCTGGAGCTGAGAGGCGACCACCCGCTCCAGCACCTTGCCCAGAAAGGGGAGGTTAGAGATCGGTCTGTAGTTACTCAGCACCGTGGAGTCAAGGGAAGCTTTTTAAAGGAGTGGACGGACCACAGCCTGCTTCAAGTTAGATGGAAAAATTCCTTGCTCCAACGATGCATTGATAATTAATACAAACCAATCAAGCAACCCCTCCCTGGCTGATTTAATGAGCCAAGATGGGCATGGGTCTAGAGGTGAGGTGGTCGCCCTCACAGCCCCAAGAATCTCCTCCACGGTTTCAGGAAGAACAAGCCTAAAAGAATCCCACAAAATTGGACAAGCAGATGCCTCCGTCACCTCTTCTGGCACTGCGATAGAATTGGAGTCGAGCTCAAGACGTATCTGGGCGACTTTACCTGCAAAATGGTGTGCGAAATCGCGACACCGAGCTGCAGGGTCATCAGCGACCTCCTCCGCCACAGGTGGGTGGAGGAGTTCCCCCACGACCCGAAACAGCTCCGATGATCTATTTGCTGCAGATGCTATACGAGTGGTCGTGAATGATTTCCTGGCCTCCCGTATAGCCACGGAGTATGCCTTAAGAGAGGCTTTAGCCCGTGCTCGATCAGATACTG